CAACCCACTCCAGTATCTGCCAAGAAAACCCCATGACCAGTAACAAAAGGCTAAAAGATACGACACTAGAAGATGAGCCCCTCAGGTTGGAAGGTGTCCAGTATGCTACTGGGGAAGAGCAGAGGGCAAGTACAAGTAACCCCATTGGATGTGGTAAAAAATGAGATGGCAAGACTGAACATTGACATCTTGGGAATCAGTGAACTAAAGTGGACGGGAATGGGTGAATTTAACTCAGATGACCATTATATCTACTACTGTGGCCAAGAATCCTGTAGAAAAAAATGGTGTGGCCTTTATGGTCAACAAGAGAGTGAAAAAGGCAGTAATGGGATACAGTCTCAAAAATGACAGAATGATCTTGGTCTGAATCCAAGGCAAACCATTCAACATCACAGTAATCCAAGTCTATGCCCCAACCACTGACGCAGAAGAGGCTAAAATGGATTGGTTCTATGAAGACCTACAAAGTCTCCTAGAACTAACACCAAAAAAAGATGTCCTTATCATCATAGAGGACTGGAATGCTAAAGTAGGAAGTCAAAAGGTAACCAGAATAGTGGACAAGTTTGGCCTTGGAGAACAAAATGAAGCCGGGCAAAGGCTAACAGAGTTTTGTCAAGAGAATACGCTGTCGTAGTGAACACCCTCTTCCAACAACCTAAGAGGCGACCCTACACATGGACATCAGCAGATGGGCAATACCGAAATCAGATTGATTATGTCATTTGCAGTCAAAGATGGAGAAGCCCTATACAGTCAGTAAAAACAAGAACTGGAGCCGACTGCGGCTCAGATCATGAGATACTCATTGCAAAATTCAGGCTTAAACTGAAGAAAATTGGGAAAACCATTAGGCCATTCAGTTTTGGCCTAGATATGGACCATAAGGAAGGCCGAGCGCCGAAGAATAGATTCTTTTGAACTATGGTGCTGGAGAAGACTCTTGAGAGTCCCTTGGACTGCAAGGAGATCAAATCAGTCAATCCTAAAAGAAATCAACCCTGATTGTTCTGTGGAAGGCCAGATGCTGAAGCTCAAATACTTTGGCCACCAAAATGAGAAGGGAGCACTCACTGGAGAAGACCCTGATGCTGGGAAAGATTGAAGGTAAAAGAAGAAGGGGGTGACAAAGGATGAAATAGATAGTGTTATTGATACAACGAACTTGAAGTTGAACAAACTCTGGAGGATGGCGGAGGACAGGAGGGCCTGGTGTGATGTGGTCCATGGGGTTGCAAAGAGTCGGACTCAACTGTGCAACTGAACAATAACAGCAAAATACACATACAGTCCACATTCCAAAATTGCCATTTTGTCCGTGTGAACTGGAGATCAGTTGTAATCCCAGAAGATCTCCAGCTGTCACCTAGAGGTTGGCAAGCTTAGTTTTGGGCCCATGCAAAACTGTTCTTAAGCAGATTCCCCACCACCAGCAGCTTATAAATACTAGCACTACCACCTCTCTGCATATCACACCTAATCCAATCAAGCCTGCTATTGTCATTCGTCTCTTGCCATTCGGCATCTGAAATCAGCATTATAAAGTTTATATCTCCAGTACCTTGTATTACATTTTATGGCACGCATGGCTTGGCCTGACAAAGTAACTCAACAAGACCAAAAAAGCTGTCAGTGGACACTATGCAACAACTGGAAATGATATCATAATATATTAAACATCAATATCTTATAAACAATACAGAAAAGTGCAAAGAAGGTTCTAAAAGTAGCTGCAGTTGACTAAGTTCTCCAGAATAGTGTTTCATTTTGTGAGGACTTCCTCTGAACAGGACCACACCAATCTTTCAACATTACAAAAATATCAATAAATATGTGCATGAAACGAAACGCTATTCCGGGAAACTTTGTCAACTGCAGCTACTTTTGGACCCTTCTTTGCACTTTTCTGTATTGTTTATAAGATATTGATGTTTAATATATTATGATATCATTTTCACTTGTTGCATAGTGTCCACTGACAGCTTTTTTGGTCTTGTTGGTTTATTTGAGCTGTTACTTTTCATGTGAATAGTGTTGTTATTGGCCCAACAAAGTGATATTTATGTCAGATCTGGCCCTTGTAACAAGTGAGTTCGACACCTCTGCTGTAGTGAGAGCATAATATATTCTAATTCCTTGGTAAACATTCTGCATCAAAGATAATAACAGTGCAATTCTACACAGAGTTACTCCAGTCTAAGCCTGCTCATTCCATTGATCTTAAGCTCAAGTAACTGCATAGGATTGCATTGTATGAATCCTATTTTATTCTTTTTCCAGAGTGCTGTATTGGAGGGACAAACGAAAGGGTATTGATTGATTCTGTTTGATGCAAACTGTTTCGTCATCCAGCTGAGAAGTAAATATGAATGTTTCCTAAGCATCTACAGTAACTTACTGTCTCCATGGAAGCTTCACATGGCTTCATCACCACCACTGTGCAATTGAGGGCACAGCTTGTTATAACATCAAGGTTTTTATAGTACTTGTTGCAGCAGGGATATTTATATTCTTGGTAAAGGGGAAAAATTGTAAACAGTGAACATTTTTTGTTGGCATTAATTTCACATTTGTCTGTTATCTTTGCTTTAGGATTTTGCAGTTATCACACCTACTAAGTTTCAAAATTAATTGATCAAAAACTTGGCTTTTGTATCTTTTAGCTTATGTTGTTTAGAAGGAACACATCTATCTTATGTTACTCTACTAGCTTCCGAAACTTAATAAAATCTCTATTGAAAGAACAAACTGCCAAAGTTAAAGAAATATCTGTTGCTTGCTAATTTGGGCTTGAGAGTGCAGTATGAAAGCAAAATAGAACTGCCTCTTCAGAGAAGAAGGGGACTGTAGTCTTCAAGTTTTCAAGCAGTTTTCTGCTTAGTGGTCTTCAGTTAGGGTTGCCAGTCCCCAGTTAGCAGTGGGAAACCCCCCATTTTTGCAGGCTCCTTTCTGCAGCTGTCCAGCTGGCTGGTGGGAGGAAATCCCCCCCAAAGAGCACATGGAACGACGTGCCTACGTCACCCCAAAGTGTTGTAAGCATGTTGGTGATGTCGGGGGAGGGTTGATGCTCTAGTTTTTGGGCAAGACTCTATGGTTTGAAGTTGATTTGCCCATAAACTAGAGCATCGCCCCCGATATGCCTACATCAGTTGGAAGTGACGTAGGCACACATGCGACATCACTTCCAGTGATGTCGGCACATTGGGAGTGATGCTTCCAGCTCCCGGAGCTTCCCCCCACCTCCCTGGCAACCCTATCTTCAACCTTCCCAAAATGGCATCCAGCATTAACCCCAGGAAGCACCACAGGATCCACTGAACTGCAAACATCTATCAGGATGTCATGTGACATCACAATCATGTGGCAGAAAGATGAAGAGCCACAGTCTCTGAAAGGACCCTCTCCACCAGCCATCTCAACACCCTGCTACACCTCTTAGAGTGCATGCAGAGAGAAGAGACACAACACTCTTGCTTTCTATGCATGCGTACGAACAGCAGGTCCTTCCAAAAAGCCAGGGGGAGGTTGCTCTGTATAGGAACTCACAGTCCAGCAGTTGAGTTTCTGCAGCCCACCTGAGGGTCCCAACCCTTGGGTTTGAACAGAAACAGATGGGGTGTAGTTTATGTTTGCCTGCTTTATTCTTATTTCTCTTATTGTAAACTGTCTGGTCCCCTAATTTGAATGATGAGGGCAGAAAAGATAGAGCTTTCTGCATAGTTTATGAGTCATAAGAACATAAGAGAAGCCAATGTTGGATCAGGCCAATGGCCCATCTAGCCCAACACTCTGTCACATAGTGGCCAAAAATACCTGGTGCCATCAGGAGGTCCAGCAGTGGGGCCAGGAAACTGCTTGGGCCTCGCCGCAGGAGCCGGGGAGGAGGGGGGGTGGAGGAGACTGGGGACAAGGGGGGGAATCGGCGGGTTCAGTGACTGGCAGCAGGCCGCGCTGCCGGTGTCTGGGGATGGGGGGGGGGCGGGCTTCCCTGCTTGTTCCGCCCCCCCCCCCCCCCCGCGAGTATCGCAGGTCCCCTTTCTTGTGTTTATCTAATTCCCTCATGAAGCTGTCCATGCTTGTAGCCGCCACCACCTCCTGTGGCAGTGAATTTCATGTGTTAATCACTTTTGTAAATTGATCAAAACCATTAATAATGGCCCAGTGGGGATTGAAAATGCTCCCAAAGTGATGGAATACTGACAACAGCTAAAAGTCTGTTAGGAAAAGGGGGCAAGGGAAAATCAGTTGGCTCACACCTCAGAGAGTTTAGTGAAGCCTGGATTTTGAGGGATGGAATAAGAATTCCTTGTGAGCATGCAGATGTATCCCTATTACTATGAAATGCATATTGTTATGATTAAGCTGACAGATCTAGAAACTTCCCAGTTGCCTCTAGAAAAGGCTTACAGAATATAAAATTTAGATTTTTTTTTCAAGTGTAGAAAATACATCAAAGCTTATTTTAGCTGGAGATACTGTTTGCTAATGAGATTATTCTAGCTACTCTTACAATTACTACTGTGAAGAAAAACTATTGCTTCCCTTTGGTCTTTCACTGATCAAAAGTACATTTGATGGAAGACATCAGGGAACTTTTAACTAGGGATGCCAGCCTCCAGGTGGAACCTTGGGATCCCCTGGAGTTACAGTTCGCCTCCAAACTACAGAGATCAGTTCCCCTGAAGAAAGACAATTCTCTTTTCCTTCAGACCCTTCTGCCATCATTTCCCAAATAAGAAAGAAACCAGAAATTTTTAAAAAAGCAAGCTTTTAAAACAAGTATGGTGTGTTCAGTTTGTGATGAGAGGCCTAATCCTCAACGAGTTTAAATGGAAGCATTTATTTAAAGATATTTTAGGTCCACTGAGGATAAAGAATCCTCAACTAGTTTATACATTTCTTTGAATTAAAGACCCAGCTCCGATATCAGATCTGTCTGAATACCTATAATTCCATGAAACAGCCTTTTTACCCTTTTTTTCTTTTTCCAAATACAGATTATTGACAAAGAAATTAACCCATTTGTGGACAAATGGGAAGAAGAGGGCCAGTTTCCAGCACACCAAGTGTTTAAAATTCTGGGGAAGGCTGGGTTCCTTGGAGTGAACAAACCAATTGGTAAGGCAAGAGACTACTTAATCTTTACTTGGGAAGTAATGCCTGACTACTTAGCATTGGGTTTGGAGGCTCAGCAACAGCTGTATTTCTATTAATCTGTGGGAGCCTTTTGATTTGGGGAAGGGGCAAATAGAAATATAATCTTGCCAGGTTCTGTCACAGGGTGGTTTTTTTCCCTATCAACGAAAAAAAGAATGTTCTCTCTGGTTTTATTGCTAGTATCTTTTTTATTTCCAGACATGTGTTGTACATATTAGATTCCTTGTCACTGGACTTCAAGGATCCACCTACTGATGCTCAAGGCAGCCGCCTCCACAAGCAGGCCCGAGACCCAAGGATAGCTGAAAAGACAGCCAGGTGCACCTTACCCCTGGGCATCTGCCCCCCCCCCCGCTCCAGTACAAAAAATCCAAGTCACCAGCAAGACAGTACAAACCTCATTTGCAATGTTGATATTGTACATATTAGATTCCATGTCAAAAATGAAGTCAAATGAGGAGGAAGATCTGTGTCTTATTTCAGTTAACAAGAAAACAGTTCGACCAAATAACTCATCAAAAATTGACAACTTTCTTCTTCTTCTTCTTCTTGAACATATTCTGAACATATTCAGGAAATACATGATATTTTATACATGGACTGACATCATCAAGAAAACAATATTCAAAAAGCATAATTGGTTACAAAAGACAGTGGTAATTTGAGTAATAATCCTCTGATTGGCCAGATGTAAAAAGAGAGGTACCTAGGTAAATCTAAGTGTTTACTTAACCTAACCTAAATGATAATGGGCAAGGATTCTTCATATCCCAAACAAAAGTATTGTTTACTGATACGAGACTAAAATCTTCTCTGACCCAGACATTGCAAGGTTTTGCCCTTAAGAACTACAGAATCATGAACTCTGTACCTATTATGTTATCTACTAACAATATCAGACCTACAAGAGGAAAGCCTTCTATATAACAGGCCTTTCTAACATCCTAATAAAATATTACTTAAAAGAGAAATCCATAAAACCAGGAAAAAATATGAATATGAACAATCAAGAAGAAAAAATCATACTACACATGCAAGAATGTTTACATGGCCCTCTAATGAAGAACATGATCCTCCTGGATTACTACAGAAGCAGGTGTTTAGGGGAACAATGATGGATGCGTCAGCATGACATGCTGTAGAATTAACAATAACTGGCTTAGTCCCACACAGCTGAGACTGGTTTTATTAGGGTCTAGCTGTGTGGTATGGAGCCAGTATGTTATCTTTGTCTTGCAAATCAGGAATAGAGTACTCAGTCAGGTTCCTACTCTTAGGTTCACATAGCAGAGACAGACATTGTGACTGACTGTCAAAGGTTAATGCCTCATAGAGTCTGAGAACCTCTGAGCGACAGACTGTTCAAACGGAATTTTGTGGAGAGCAGTCAGTTAAGAAATGACAGTTGAAGAACAGGCAATTTAGCACTGGCTTAGGACTGAGAAAGAGGCTAAAAGAGGAGTGGGAGGATCACAGAAGATCCCCATTCAAGCTGAAAAAGGGACAGAGTTTCTAGTCTAAGAGAAGTAATCCCTGCCCAGTGAAAAGGGAGATATCTCTCAAAGAAGGAGTAATCTCTTGGTCAGTGTATAGAAGAGGATTTTGGGAACTTGGTTGTGTTGTGCCTTCAAAACCTTAAGAGTCAGGAACTTATACTTGAGTGTTTAAGCAGACACTGAAAAGAAAGCCTCAAAGTTTCAAAGACCTTGTGGAAAAACAGAAACATCTACTTGTTGGCAACAAATTATCTTGTATTTACTGTGATTACAGAGTTACCTCAGTTATTACCTTCTGTTCACCTCACCGCTGAATCCATCTGACCTTTTCCCTTCCAAGTTAAACAAAATATTTTGCTTATTTTTGAAATTTCAAAAGTCCAACAAATAAGAAGAAAATAGATATAGGGGCTACTCAGCAAAAAAGAAAAAAGAAACAAAGGGAAAATCCTTTGCATGATGGAGGGAAGAGAGTGAGATCACTATAGACATGTTCAAAACAGCATCCATTTATTACTATGAAGATATAGAGATGGGAGCAACTGGTTTCAGGACAAGGGAGATCATGCAGTCTACAGTTCTACTAGCAGACAAGACTAAGGAGCATGGACTCCACCCCATGACACTACACTACTGCACATAAATATTGTGGGGGCAGACCGTTCCGTACAATAAATATACCATAAATAGATAGCTCAGAGTATTGACTTGGATGGCCCAGGCTAGCTTGATCTCATCAGATCTCAAGTTAAGCAGAGTTGGCCCCAGTTAGTATTTGGATGGATTTGGACACCTCTGAATGTCTCTTGCCTTGAAAACCCCGTGAGATAACCCTAAGTGGGTGGCAACTTGATGGCACTTTCCACCACCAGATGGCTCAGAAGTAGGCAGAGAGAGTTGACAGCCAGGGGTTATATGAGGAGCAACATCTCAATGTGCCATCCTAAATTCTGTTCCTGCTTTTCAGCTCAGGAGCTTTAGGAAAGGCCTCTCCTCTAGAATAAGGTAGGTAGGATGGTTTTGAACAGGAGAGGAGGAAAGCTTTTACCTTTAACCCAGTGTGGAACATCTGGAGATCATAGTGGAAAGCTACTGGAGGAATTTTAGGGCAGAGGAGTCATTTCTCAGAGTCAGAACAGGAAAAATTATTTCTTTATAAAAGTATCAGAGGTGGCGATGAATCCGCCCCCCCCCCCCATGGGGGTCAGTGCTTCAAACTTTACTCAACTGACCAGCCCAGCTGTGCATGCCCAGGATTTCCCCCACTCCCAGCTCAGGAATGGATTTTTCAAGATCACTCTTACCCTTCCCATGCTGAACTGATGCTGAAGCTCATTCACAATCATAATGGGTAGGTAGGTATGTGACAGGGTACTTAAAAGGAGTGAATGATGGCTTACAGGGCTTTCAAAATTGTTTAAATTATCTCTTACTCTTCTGAGGCACTCTGCTATATTTCCATTTAGAGTGCCTAAAATACTAGATATATACAGCCCTTTTTGAAACTAATGCTTGGCACTGAAAGATGGACTCACACAGAATGAATGTCATGTTGCTCTAGGTAAACTAGTTAAAACCATTCTATGCAGCATCACTGCAATTGGTACCTTTTGAGATCAAGATGCAAGATTGGTAGCACTACTATAACTGTAATCTATCTGTAAAGTATGTGCCTCTGATAGTATGAATTAAATTGAACTGCACTAAAATTCAACTATTTGCTTATTTTATCAGCTCATCTACTATGAATTGCTGCTGTTTTAAAACCAGTTTTGGCTAAAACATGCATATGGGGTGGACAGATAAGTCTCCAATAGCACTTAATTTGAACCCTGGTAATTCCTGATGGACAAGGTGAATCCTAAACCTATTTAACTCAGATGTAAGTGCTCCTGAATTCAGTGAGACTTTCTTTCTAGTAGCTAAGCTTTAAATTGTAGCTGGAATCATAGATATAGGAGTTAATTGTATGGCTCATGTTTAAAATTTGAGTTGTCAGATGTGAGTACTTGGGTGTTTATGTTTAAGAAATGCATTTTCCTCTACCAAATTACAGAGTAAAATGGAACAAATGCTTATCTCTTTTCCTGCCACCACTTTCCGAGTAGCTCAGCTTTTAGCATAATTTAAGTGTTAGCATCACAATGTGCTGTATATTTAAATTATAGAAAATTAGGATTCTATCATTACCCTGCACCTTGGGTCACATTCAACTGCATGAGGAATGACATGTCACTACAAGACTAGCAGAATTCTAAGGTGAACACACTGAAGATATTTTCAGAATTTATTGAGTTATGGCTACTTGTATGTTGTTCACATAAGAGTGTGGGTTTTTGTTGTTGTTTAATTATCATGGCATCTGTATGCTTTACAGTGCAATCCTAAACTGGATTATACACTTCTAAATCCATTAAAGTCAATGGGTTTAGAAAAGCATAACTCTGTTTAGGATTGCACAGTTTGTCTCTCATGAAAGCAGTGAGTACTTGTAAATGCTCCAAAACTTAGCATTTGTGGCTGTGATGGACAGGTTAGGCTCCATCTCTCCCTGAGAGCAACCAATGAGAGCTGATGGAATGTTGAAGATTGTCAGTTGTAACAGCAGAAGAACAAGGGTTGAGAGTTGGCAGTTTAGGGAGTTGAGAGGGAAAAGAGTGTGTCTGGCGGAATAAGGAAAGCTGGAGAAAAGCTGCTTAGAATGGGCTGAAAATAGTCAATTTGTAACAAAAGGATCCCAGTTGTGGGAACAGGACCACAGTTCAGAAGCTCAAAGGAAATGAAACATTGTAACTTCTACCTTAGTTCTTTCAGTATTAATACCATAAATAAAAGTTAACTTCTTGTTTTGTTTAACCCTGTGGACTACATGTCTAAGATAAAGAAACACACACAAAATTTAATATTTTGGTCTATATATATATTATAGGGTATGAATAAATGGTGGTAGCTTGTGAATGGAACAGTGTTTGAACCCCCTACCCTGATAATTCTGCATGTGTGAGAGCTTTTTATTAAAGGGGGCTGGGCTACCCTGTCTGCAGATGTTTCTGTGAGTGAGAGAGAGGACCTGAGAGAGGAAACAGTCAAGGCTTGCTCTGTATTTTTATAGAGGTGAGAAGGGTGTCAAATGTGATGTCCTGACCTACTTGTAACCCAGAACCTGAAAGAAAGAGAGGCTGTAGAGGGTGGTAGGCATTCTGTGTAAGTGGAAAAGGGTTGTCACAGTGGCTTTCCCGTTTTCTGCTCCCTTGTAAGAATTGTTAGTAATTTTTAAATCAAGGATTCTTTGACTTCATAAACTTGACCAATTTTATATTGTCTGTATGTTTATGGGTTTTCACGAATTCACTATGTTTATATCCACTATATGTTACACTGACAAGTTCATCATGTATTTGTATTTAAATATTTGTACTCCTTTAATATATAAAAGAAAAAAAGAGAAGTACTCCCTCACTGCAA